TTACAGCTGCCAGAAAAGATACAAATGAATGTCTCTGGAGATGTTTTTCTCAGGCACATCACTATGCAGAGTGGTGGTAATTCCAGAGCAGTATAGGGTTTTTTTACCCTTAATGATAACGATCTTGGTAATGCACCTCCCTTCTGACTCACTGCTGTAGATCTAGAGCCTATGGGGCAATAACTCTAGTTGTTAGAAGCATGCTTGGGATTTTTTCCTCCTCTGCTGGTGGCCTGCAGGCCCATGCTTATGCTTAACCCTAGGCACCAAATGGCACCTTCAGTCACTTAGTCCAACCTCCTCCACCTGTCTCTACACCTCAACCTCATCCCCCACTACTGAAGCTGTTCCAAGGATGAAACAGTGGGGCAGTTACAGATAAGACTCAAGAGCGTGACCATCATTATCCATGTTAGTAAGAATTAAAGTTAAATCCCTTGAGTATATTAGCACACTACTCTGTTGCACAAGTAAGGGGTTAGTGAGGTGCCCCCTCCTCAATTCATGCCTTCTGAAAGGGCCTAGCCTCCCAAAGCATGAGAAATATGTCAAGCTCCTTCCACTCTCCCTAGTAATTCCCATGTGCACATTTCTGACAGAGCACTGTACAGATAACTCTGTGGATGTGCATAACATAGGCCACGTTCTCCTACAGCTCCTTGAGGATTTGTGGCTGACTCAGTGCAACACACGCTAACACAGGGCTGATCTTTATGGCACTAAGCTCTTAATTACTACTCAGATGTATAGATCCACAAATGATAAATCCTCTTAGTTCAACTGAGTAACAAAGCAAGATAAGGCTGGAGTCACACTGTTATTTTAGTATAGTTAATAAGATTTAAAGTGACATGCAATTTATTCATACCCATATAAAATGTACCAGAGGAAAAACAAAACCTCCAACCCAATCCTACAATACTGGCACTAGAGTGCATAATGACATCTTGTCATTCCAAAGTGGTCTGCTGCATTTTACTCAGATCATTGAATTGTTTACTGCACAGAAAGCTACAACATCTTGAAGGCAGTCAGAACAGGAGTGGAAACTCCAGCCTGATGAGAAAGGTAGCTTTTCAATTTATTCAGCAGAGGCAAACACAAATGGTGACTAAAAATAAGCAGCCCAGTTTCTACCTAAAAGTCATATGCTTGTTTTCTTGCTTTGAGACTGCTTAGTTTTTTCCCAAATAAGTTTCCATTTCTACTAGTCAAAGTTTACTTTAGTTAAGACTACAGACAAGGATTGGAAGGTGGCAGTGCTCTACACAGCATCATAGTTACATGGTGAGTCATTGTGTGATAGTAGTAATGGGTCACATGTATTTGCAACAACTTATACAACACACCAGTATTTCATGGATTTCACAGCTGTAAGAAGCCCTGTTCATTTACAGGAGCAGTCTGACCAGAATTACTGCAGTGGCTTTAAAACACTGGATCAAACTGGCTGTAGAGAGTGTCATGGCCATGATATCCCACTAATAGGCCCCTTTTATTTCAACATGAATGCTATCCAGAAAGGACAAAGGTATGAAAAACAGTTCATTGGGTGGTGATGAATAATACTGCTTTGTTTTTATGTTGATCCCCTTTCAAAAAAGATATAATTTAAATATAAATACATATGAAATGTATAGATAAATATATAGAGAGATAGGTATGTTAATATGTAGTTTCATCAGAAGTGGATTAATCAAAGAAAATCTAAAGGTATCACAATATGTCAGCATCATTGAATAAAATCCTAACTACACTTTGCATTTATGCAGTTCTGAAACCAAGCAGTCAGAAAGCCAGATACAGCAGGGAATAACTCATGATTTTAACCTCACAGCCTAGGCAACTAAGACTCAGATTTGCTTAATGATGAGCTATGCTCAAACAATCTCAGGTAAAGAATTCAACTGTTCTGACTCCCAGTTTTTTACCTAGTTAAGAATCAGAAAGGTTTGGAAGCAAGATAAGAAAACAAAACTTTGGAAAAAAATTAGGATTTTCATTTGGGCCTGTACCCAGATATTATAATGAACAGAGGACTGACTCTCCTCTTTGCAAATGGTCTTAATCAGTCCTATTAGCATTAAACAAATTAGCTGGTATAAAATCACCCTCTGTTAAAATAACTGAATTATACTTGCATATTGGAGAACAGAGTCTGCATGGGTACAAGTGAATACTGCCTTGTTTTCTTTCTTGTTTAATTAATTCAAGCGTAAAGTGAACAGTAAATCATCAGGCTAAAAAAATCCTAAAATGTATCATATCACAGTTGCAGCAAATTCACCTACATGCAAGGAAAGTCTTATTTCTCATTTCTACTGGTGTTACATTAACATGGCTTTAACTTTGGTTGAGCTAATTTTTAGCTTGTTTTAGTGTGACAGGAAAAACAAACTTCAAATCTTCTACATAAGGCAGCTTTAAATTGTCTGCATTTTTTTTTTATTATTATTTTTTTTTTAATTATTTGACTCAGGTGTCAAACCAACCTTGGCTACAGATATAACAGAGTGACAAACTGCCTTCTGGGCTGAGATGAGGAACAGTCAATTTAACCTGACAATCTGAACCATAAGGAGCCTTTGATAAGTAAATGAGGATGTAAGAAGACAGAGAAAAGTTGGTAACGAATCCAAGCTAAGGTAGCACTCCCAGACATGGAGAATACGGTGCTCCAGAAGAAATACCTTCCTGTAATCTGGAGAAATACTTTCCCTCTTTCAACAGCTGAATAGAGAAGAAGCAGCTCAGCAACGCTGGGACTTATCCTGCAGCTAAAGTGCTATTGGTCCATTTAGTAGAAGTCTCGGTCATGGCAGGGGGGTAAAGCACCAAGACTGCTGATATTTTCAAATGTCTTAGCAGCAGTAACCACACAGCAGCTTTTCTGCAAAATAAACAAAACAAGAATCCAGTTAATTCAGCAGTACACTTTTTTTATTTGGTTAAGCGTTCTAGGACAACCACATTGTGGTTTCTTTGTGCATAAGGAAAAGAAAGCAGTGCTGAAGCTTCTTGCTTACAAAGGGTTCTTGCAGCCACCTTACTTGTGAGAAGTTTCATACAATATTTAAAAAAACAAAACAAAACAAAAAAAAAACACAATCCAAAAACCAAGGCCTCTTTGTTAAGTGAAGAAATGGTCCTGGAGGTCTCTCTTGAAATGCAGCTACTCTGCCTTTTTGCCTCTCTTGTCATACAGATCACAGCATGAAAAGCATGCTGCAAACCTCCCCATTTATTTGTGTTACCACTGCAAGCATTTATAATGCCAGGTCTAAATCAACTGGCACTTGAATGTATTATTTTGGGTTAAATGTGGTAACCATACTACTTGCCTGATAAAAATAGCTAAAGGGATTCTTTAAAAACAAAGCACTGCTATGACTTTAGATCCACTCATTAAGTAAACTCAAATAAACTCCAAAAAGAAAAACACACGCAGAGGAAATAACACTGCAAAAGCCAAAACCAGGTTTTCCTGCAGGTTAGATCATGGGTAGGTTACTATGTTACCAAGCTATAAAAAGTTTATTTAAAAATAATTTTGACTGCTGTTGGACAGTCAATTTATCTTAAAGTTGATTTTGGTTGTAATAGAAAATTGTGTAATAAAGTGCTTCCTGCATTACAGAGGGAGAATTTTCACCATTTGATTGCTGTGCAGTTAGTGACTTGAAATGGGAAATACAGATAAAAACACTAGTCCCATAACAAGTCAGGAAAATCTGTTTAGAAAACTACTACCTAAAAGCACACAGGTGAGTGGACTAAAGCTTCATGTAATCTGTCTCAGCACCAGTGAAGTGGGGATGAATGCTGAGGATCACAAACAGCTATTAATTCCCATTGGATTCCCAGTACAGAAGTTGATGCTCAGACACTACCATATCAGGAAGTTGTGTGGCTTCAGAACAAGTAGGATATCATAATGGCACCTTAGCCCTCACTGACCTCCAGTGTACCATGGAAAGGCAGCTTCCAGTCCCCAAGATGACTCATTTAAAGATCATTAACTTCTGTGTTACTACACCACACTGTGCAGAGTCTGTTCTAGTCTTACTTAGACAAAAGTAAGAACTAGACAAGAACTAGACAAAACAGAACAAAAATTTCAACTTCTCACAATACTTTCTTTTTTACATGTTTCTGGACAAAACCTGTTGCAAACAAAACCCAGAACATCACTTGCCCTACTAAGCAGATGATGGATGATGGCAGTATTAAAAACTTGCTTGTGGTGAAAAGTGAACTCCTTTTATTTTGGCATCCTGGTTGTTTCTCATGACGCACAACTAAACGGAAGTGGTTTCACAGTGTGTGTTCTCAGCTTCATTCACATCTTGACCCTCCACTGAGTTTTGCCCAGAGATGCCTCCAGATCCTTTGAGTCCTTCCCATGGTCCTTCAACAGAGGCACCAACTTCTGTGGTAGTTCGTAAAAGTGGCTGTGGGAACTGGTGTACTGGTTTATGGAGATACCATACTGCCCGAGGTAGCCAGATTTCAAAGTGGCTGAGTGAGTAAGCTTTGGTCAAAAACTGAAGACAGAACATGAAAGCAGACTTGAGTCTCCCTGATCCCCAGGGAAGGCTACCAAGCCAGCCTGAGAACCACTAATTAAGTGTTTGTTAATGAAAGGGCAAAGACAGAGAGTCAGAAAAAAAAAAAAAAAAAAAAAAAGACACAGAGAGATGCTCTGTCAAAATTGTTTGGGTTGCTACAGGATAAAAGGGCAGAGAAGTGCCCTCTCAGAATTTGGTCCTCAAAAGTGTGGAGCAGCTTCCTTTAGGGGACACCTCACTTTTGTTTCACGACAGTTAGTGGAGCTGCCCTGAGGGTTGGGCCCATGCCTTTGTGAAAAAGTAATTACTTTTCATATTTCTCCCCTTTTTAAACCATACTCCTAACCACAGCATCAAAACCTGAAAGCTTTCAACACTGAAAAATTATTGGGTGAAATCCTGCCCCATGAGAGCCAGTGGGAATATAACTATTCACTCTAAAATGGCCATGGTTTGCAGCACATATGGCTTCATATATCTGATATTTTTTTTTTTTCTCCCACATTGCTGTGACTTGGTATAAGTGATAGAGCCAGTTTACATTTTGAAAGCTTTCTAAACAGCAGGGATGGTAGTGATGAATACAATTTGGATCATGCACTTTGGACTGTGCAAGCTTTTTGGCTGCCCACTGATCCCTTCCTCAGGGGCTACAGTATTTATGTCTGAAGAAACACTTGGGACCCAAAACAAACCTGTTTGGCAGCTCTTTCAGAAAGGTTATTGAGCCGGGGATGCTTGGGACACATCTATAGCCTTCTTCTAGGGAAAAAGAGAAAAAAAAAATAGAAAAAAAAAAAGAAAATAAAAGATACCGTTATTGGAGCATTAACTGAAGATCAGTCACATCTTACCTCTAGTTAAGGTAACGGCAGAACACCACATCAGCATGTTTAATGAAGCTATTGTTGTAAAGCACAAGAAGTATAAACAAAAAATAGAAGGGGAGGAGCTACAAAGGACAGCACGAGTTGTAAAGTTTCTATTAGAGCAGGGTTTCCCCAGAAGAAAATTGGGGATAGGAAGCAGCACAGCAGGTAAGCAGCCCATATTCTTGCAGCATTTGGAAAAGATAGCCTGTTCCTCAGGTTATAGAATCAGAGCTTCACTAGGGCCCAACTAAAGGAGTCAAATTGTATCCTATGAAACCCTCTAAAGAGATACTTACCTCTGACAAACTTTTATTTTTACTGTGTTTGAGTACTTATAAATCTAATAATCTTATGGGTATTGCTGTTCTGGGAGATTATAATGAAAATTACATTTCAACAAAAATTATAATAATTCATTTGATATTATTTTCCATTTTATACTACTTGTTATCCTTACTGTGTATAACAGGAACATCTTGCAAGGAGAGAGCTGCCAGGGTACTACTCAGTCCATCCTGCTCAAAACCCACACCATCACACCAGCAGAGCTACTACTCCTTTCCTATCATCAAAATCTTTGCTCTTATTTTAGTAATATTACTTTATTAATTAATAATATGGTCTCTTAATTCTTAACGATGGCTACAGTTCAAAAGGCACCGTGCCATGTACATACTAGGCAACACAGCAGTCATTCTATTTAAATGGAAGTGGTTCGCCTGCAAAGGAGGAAGTGAGTATTGCACTTCCAATGCTGTAAAAATTCTGAAACCTGCTTAAAATTATCCCCTCATGAACTACAGAGTGGACTCACTTAGATTCAGCCAACAGCAAGCCCATCAACAGTGTGAATCTCCCAAGCTCAATGACTATTTAACAGAGGAATATTCAGAATGATTTAAAAATCTTGTTGATCCTCCAACTCAGCCCAGTGTAACTGTTCACGTGAACAAACAACTGTTTCTTTTGTGTCAGCCACTAAGCTGGCTACCCTAGCAGGGCAAGAAGGTGCCTAAGTACAAAGACGTGCAGTGGCTGAGGTTCCAGGCTCTGTTGGGAAAGGTATCCCGTGGGAAGAAGTAGGATGAAATCTAACCACACCCAAGGGGAAGTTCAGGAAAACCTGAAAGGGTTTTCAAAAACAGGAAGCAAAACCATCCTCAGCTGGAAAACTCTCTTCACATGGTAAATCAGTGCTCATTTTGTAAATAATCACATTTTGCAAAGAAATGGATCCACTCTGCAACACACAGCAATTGCATGACCATATATTTATTTCCAGGCGTGCAAGAACTGATGAGTAAGTGTGTGCATGCAAATTATAACAGCTAAATAAAAGCAAAGGGACACACATGGCTCACAGCAGCAAGAAATACAGCAGCAAGGAGGTCTCAAAAACCGATAATTAAAATGTCAAAGCAAATAGTGATGTGGCAACACAAGCAGATCTACAATGCACAAGGATATTTAAATTTAGGGACCTGGATTCTGCAGTGGAGCTTGTGGTCTGTTAACCATGGGTGTTTTAAGGCAGCAGTTGCACTTATTCTCCAGCTAAAGGAAAACCAGAATGCTAGTAAGTGTTTTTCCTAGAATCTTACAATTCAACAATTATCTCCTATAGGTCATGTGCTCTGCTATCATTCAATGCTGTCATTTCAGGACACTACGTCAGATGGCAGCTAATCCACAAAGTTAACTTCGGTTTCATAGCAAAAATACATTTAGGTAACTTCAGATCATTTTATGGATATAATGAACGACATCGATAAAAGGGCATTATAATGTCTACATGGACATAAAACACTTGGATAAGTCATGATAGTTCTGCAATGAAGCAGTACAAGTGACAACTCTGACATGATGGCATGGAACACACATTTCAAAGATACAGAGATTATATACCATTTTTCCTTGATGAGAAGCTTTGAGATGAAATCTTTGGCCTCATCAGAAACATCTCGAAATTCCTCATCTTCAAAATCCCAGCTACAGGAAAGGATATTGTTGAGGGTCTCATTGTCATTATCACCCAAAAAAGGAGACAATCCACTGAGGCTAAAATAAAAAAAAAAAAATTATATATATATATGTTCAATCCTCCTGTCTTTTCCCCTTACTGTACACAATCTCCAATGTGCCACCTATGATTGTTCTGTTACTTCTGGCCTACTTTGCAACATGTTATTGTCTAAGAAAGTCTTCAGACCATTCTCATTCTCTCTTCTATTTACATGCCCAAATAATCACCCTTCTTTCCTAACAAACCAAACATTACTGTCATTCATGGTAGTCCATATTTTCTAGACCTCTGACCACTCTTGCACATACCCACTGGGAACTTACCAAGCAGTCTACATTATTCTGGAACTGTGATGCTCAAAAATGCTCATGAAATATGTGCAATGAAACAAAGAAGAAAAGCTCATGGTGATTGAAAAAGGAGAGAGATTATTGAATATAAAATTTGGAAAAAGGTCTACATTTTCTACTTTGAGTACAAATTTTGTCAACCTTCCAGTATAGCAACAAATTTGGATGAGTGACACTGTTCAACCCCGAAACAGCTTACAAAGCAGAGACTGAATTCTACTTACAGCATATAAGCTATGACTCCTACACTCCACATGTCTGTGGGAAAGGAGACAAACTCGTAATTCACAACTTCAGGAGCAAGAAATTCTGGAGTCCCAAAGTTAACTCGAAGTTTTTCCCTGGGTTTATATCTAGGAAATGGAAACATTAACAGAGAACATATAGTTCTAACTAAAGCTGTATCATAAGTTGTTTAGCACATAGGGGGATTTCAGAAGCATATAGGAAATTCAGTAGGAAAACAAAGACAGACAGAGGTACAAAGTAAAAATAAATATACCCATACTTAGAATGAAAAATTTTTGCAAGCTTTATATCATACTTCTAGGCAAAATCCAACTGCTACACAAAGGAAGACATTCAGATTTCCAAGACTCCTCAGAGCAGCTGTTATCACCCTTTTTGGACTTCTCCATATCATCAGTATGAAATTTTTAACCAGTAAATCCTTCACTGAGGTTACGGTACCTATTTAAACTAGAAAGTGATATAACACGGGACATATTGTAACAGCCCTTGATAGTCTCTTACATACTTTTTTGAAGAATCTTATAACATCAGAAACAAGAGACCAGACAAGATGTGCCACTGTTTTTGTTCATTTTAGCTGTTCCAATCTACGTATGTGCATGCTGAGTCAGAATCAGCACTCTTTCAACCTTCTACCTGAAAAAAAAGGCTTCAGAACCAATCTTTTTAACTCTACTCCAAACATTCCTTATTAAAAGATATCCCTGGTTAAAAGAGCCACATTAAATTTGTCTGAAAAACAGTAGGATGTCATTGTAGAAATTTAATTTTTTTTCATTGTTTCCTAATTATGATTAGCAAGAAAACATGCACATACCTTCTTGCCAATCCAAAATCAATAATTTTTATTTGATTTGCTGCTCGATTCACACACAGGATATTCTCAGGCTGCCAAGAGAAACCAAAAAACACTTTAACGAGAAACAAGTATGACAAACTGGGCTTTTAGTAAGCTGTAGGGAGAAAAACACTAAAACCACAGCAATCATCTCATAAGCACCTTTGGCTTTCCTCCTTGAGCAGATTTCTCTGCATGGGTATCCCCTCCTCACTATCACACAGCAACTGGGGTTACATGTTCTGTGCCTTGCAACTGCTTTTCTTCTCCTCAGCTTTTCAATTTGGCATAAGGCACCAGTTCAGATAAAGAGCTCATTAGGGGGAGTGGGACAGAGAATACAGACTCCCAAAGAGGGTTTTCAGGATGCTGGCACTATGATTTTACAGACCTTAATATGAGGACACTGATTAAAAATAAATAAATAAATAAATAAATAAATATTTGGGGCTGTGAAGTTTATCTTACACAGTTAAGCTTCTGAGTTCATTAATGTCCTGACAGTAACTGTCTGATTGAACACTGCTATATTAAGCCAGTCACATTAACTTTATGTTTTTCTCAGATATTTTAGCAAAAGGTAGGTTTCACAGATAAATCCCTCCAGATTTTCATAAGGCCAAATGCTGTTCTTCACTTCCCTGGCAGGAATCCACTAACTTCCTAGAATTACTCCAAATTCATACAGAAGGGACTGAGAATAGAATTTGGCCAATTGTCTTTGAAATGTAAATACCTAAAATACAGCCTCAGATTCACTGCCAGCAGTTTTATAGCTACTCTGTCTTATTGCTCATTGAGTCTTCTTTGAAACAAAACAGCCCTCAGCACTTAAAACATTAGTTAACCTTTGTCACCATTACTAATTCATTTTACATGTAGGACTTTTAAACACCGCACGTCCGTAGTTTCTGAGGTCCTGGATGATTATGGTCAGAATGATTTTCTTTCAATTTCAAGCTTTCTTCCCCAAACATATTTGTTACTGACAGTAATCTATGAACAAGCAAAACAGAAGGGAGAAGCCATAGCTGGCAAGCACGTGAAGAGAAGTCTCTGAGAAGAATTTCTTGGATTGTATGTGCATCTTTTTGTCAGCAGTTTGACCTCATATTAAAACTCTGCCATCTCCGAAAACTTAATGTGTCCCAAAGAACCGTGCGAACTTCTGCTTGACAGGTTTCTAGGCAACTGGATGTTTATAAAGAAAGTGAAAAGTGAGTCTGGTCACTGATTAGCAGCTGAAGCAGGTCCCAACAAGCATCTGCTCATTTGCCTAACCACTGCAATAATATATAGGCTGACATTAAAGATGTCCTATATTAACTCCGCTATTACAAGCCAAAAACAGCAGCCGTAACAAAAATCTCAAACAGAAAACTGTCTTGTGCACTTTTTGTTTCTTTTTGCTTTGTTGCAAAGCTCAGGGATCACTAGGAAGTTTTATAGCCAGTCACAAAACTAAAGACATCATCCTGTTTTATTCCTGCACTGAACAGAGGTAAGAAATGAGTCTATTATTTGATAAAAACTTGGGTTAAGGGAGAAAGGGCCACCACAAACATACGGTCTAGTGAAAAATACCTTCACAACCAAAGTTTTCTAAGGGGTGACAGTTAACCATTAGCAGTCAACCAGAGTAAGGATGTGAAATTAGTGGTTGTTGGTTGTTTGTTTTTTTTTTTTTTAAAAAGTGAGGGGACTTTTTGTGTATATAGTTAAATAGAACAGATAACTAAGCAAGCACGTGGCAGAGAATCTGTTACCGTTCTCTGGGCTTTCAGCTGCACTGGCAGCTATTGCCTAACTCAACACAGATGTACTGTATTTGTTACATCAGCCACTGACTATTTTTATTTCTTTCATTTTAGAAAGAATATTTTAATGAATTTTCCCTTAAGCTAGTTATCTCTTGATGCCTTTTCACGACCATGACAGTGTAGTATAGCCCTCAGAAAGATGTGTAGGGTCTCCACTGATCCCAAATGACCCTTGAATTTAGTTTTGCTCACTCATGACTTGGTTTCTGCTTGGTAAAAAAGGGGGATAATTCCTACTCTACAGTTCATGTGTAAAACAGAGATCTTGTGCAGCTGAACTAAATAATATTTGCACAGTATCTTGAAATCCAAATATCAGAAATGAAAATAGCAAGGTATTTGTTGTTAGCTGCTGGCTTCCTCTAAAATCAGTCTGTGGAAAATTCAACCCCAAATATAACCACAATTCTCATGTAATTTACTTAACCTTGTAGTAATTTAACTGATCTCAATGTAGTTAAAGAAAATACACATTACAAATACAGAATTACAAGAATTGCAAGCAGAATAAGGCCCTTTGTTGTTTCTGCCATGGGAATCTGCTAAGCTGTATGGGCTACCATTAAAAATAAGAATTTCTACAGCTGTCATTGCACAAAACATATATCTCAATTCTCTACCTTGAGATCCAAATGAAGAATGTACATTTGGTGCATGTACTGAATTCCCTCGCAGATCTGCTTTATGAACAAGATAGTGTCCATCTCTGTCAAATTGTAGTTTTCATCAATAATTCGGTCAAATAACTCTCCTCCTTCCACACTGATGAGAGAAAGACGACAAAGTGGTGACCAAGTCCAAATCCAATCCCATGCAACTAGAGTAATACAGAATTTATACTATTGGCTATTTTGAATCATTCACAATCAAGTTCAGTAAGGTAGGTCTACAATATGAGCCTGTACTCTGATTTGAACTTTCTAAGAACTAGGTTCTGATGCTTACTGGAATAAACTTCTTCAACGTATGAGAGTTCAGTCTCCTATCCATTGACAGGTATGAAAGTCTTGAAATTTGAACTTTATGTCGTCTTGAGTCATCCTTTTGTACCAGAGAATTATTGAAGTCACATGGAAAACCAAGACAACATGCAGAAGAATCTGCATTTAAATCCACAGTCTCCACCCTCAAAGCTTAAGAGGGACATGACCCAAAATTTCAATTTGAAACTTTCTAAAGTAAACAAAAATGAATTCTTAATTTCTCATCACATTTCAGGATGTTTCCAGCTTACCCTTTCATAGCTACACAGATATTTACCTTTTGTGATATGTTAATCATGCAGATCAAATTCAGAGGACTATCTGAAAATATCCAGAATAGACAAACTCACATGACTTTGAACCTTTTGCCATGCCTTTCAATGTTTTAGTTATGCCCTTTTTGGCTTCCTTAAGACAACATCCATTTAATTTTACTTTAAGGCAGCTATTTTGTGCCTAATTAGCCTGATAACCCCACATAAAAACCAGGTTTATTCATTCAGGCACTCAGTATAAGGATTAGGCACAACATCTAAAGCTGGTTCCTCTTCGGTTTAAGATGTCTTCTCATTTGTCTCGCAGAACTGGAGATATTCTGAAAGGTCTGTTTCTTAGCTGACACAAAGGGAAGATATATAATACAGCTCTGTCTTCAAATGGAGCAGTGGCTTTACAGCACCAGGAATGTGGCACATCACTGGAAAAATGCATTAATGGCTGCATGGGACAACTTTTATCTTAAATTCCTTTTTTTTTGTTGCTGAGAACACCTTTCATATGTTCTTTCCATCTATAAGAAGCTCTATTTCTAATTTCAGGAGAAACTAAGAAGTAAATAGACAATTCTAGCAAAAGTGGTAAAGACAGAAAGGGAATTAAAAGAACACACTTACTATTCCATGACTAGGACAATGTCATTTTTTGATTCAAAGGCGTCATACAGCTGGATGAGGTTCACATGATTCAGTTGGTTCATGACATTGATTTCATTCTTTACTTCATCCTGTGAAGAGTCATGAATATTGTTTCAAAAGCCTTTTCTCTAAAAAAGCTACATGAAACAACATAGCTTGAATCTACATTATCTTCTCTTCTGGCAACCAAACCCAGGGTTTCCTTTGATTGCTCCTGCAGTGGTAGATGTCAAGGCCATAGGAGCTACTAGACTGAACTCATAGCTCAAGTGGGGGACTGCTTCAGTAATAAGCTATCTGGGGGGAAAAGGAAGGGGAGAGCCCACACGGACAAGTGTTTGGTTCATAGGGTTGTAAAGAAAAGAGAGAAGCAAAAAAGGACTTGGTTCAACCTGCTGTAGGTATACAAAAATCAAGCTGTCTTCTAAAGTCCAGGACAGCCCTCAAAACCTCTGTTTGCAGTCAGGAGAGAGAGACTGGTACCTCCATTCAGCCCAACAATTTTAGACATGCAGTTTAGGATGGGCTGAGTCATCCTCTGGTGGTGCCAGTCTCTCTCCATTGACTGTAAGGGGATTCATGGTGATCAGCTTGGCCACAGCTACACCTTAGCAACCCCAGATAGCTGAGACAAATCCCACCCTTGATGCCATTAATGTCACACAAACGCTGCTATGCATGCCTTTCCAGTGAAAGCCAGACCCAGATGGCCATGAGGCTTGCAAAATAGGCAAGACTAATTCTTCTCATCTGTATTAATTTTGTTGTCAGGAGCCCAAATCATGCCTGTTATCAGCATCTCTCACAGTGACATCAAGTTACTGCAACAAAGGCTAACGTGTGCTTGGGAGGAAATATGCTATGTTACAGGCCTGAGAAATGTTTATACTATAAAGAAAAGAGTAACAGGATTAACAGCAGAAAGTACAAAAGGAAGCCAAAGCAACACAAAGAGCTGACAAGAAAGCTGGAAAAATTAAGATTGTAAAGAAAAAGAAGATAGAAAACCCAAAAAGAGGGCTTTGATGAGTTACTAGATATTTCTGGAGAAGAACTAGAGCCAATGGCAATCCAGCAGGTCCTATGAGTGTGATGGCTTGTGAGCCACTTGGCCACAGTCTGTTGTGTAGCTAAAGAACAGTGTGGGATCCATTGGGGAACAAAAGACTAATATCACATTCTACCAACCTTCTGTTTAGGACCTTTAGCTTTTATAATTTTGGCTGCTAGCTTGAGACCTGTTGCTTTCTCTTCACATTTGTGCACTTGACCAAATCGCCCTCTAGAGGAAAAAAAAGAAGGGAAAAAAAATCATCCAGTGGTACTGATGTGGGCACTGAATGTAAACTAGGTTATAAGCAACAGAAATTATCCTCTCCCTACTGGGTTTCATTTAAATTGCTTTATTGCTGCCATTTTGTTACGTAGATTAGATGTGCTGCTATTCATTTAGGTGCACCAAAATCACACACTGTTCTAGCTGACATTATCCCACTTGTATGATTCACTACACTCACCTCATAACATGCAATGACTATTCCTCGGGAAGTTAACACACTGTAAGGATAGTAACTTACTTATGTGCACAATCTGTCCCTCTCCATCTCATCATTCTCCTCCAAGGGAGGGTTGTGATTTCATGATGAAACAAAGCTTTACTCAAGACTATGCTGCCACCAAAAATGGCAATATCACCCTCTCCTAAACAATGTTAGCGTGAGAGATCAAATAATATGGCCTGTCAGATTAACCTGCTGGTCTATGTGAAAACTTACATGTGTTTTCAGAGATGGGACCCACTGAGAGAAAGAAGACTACAACATATCTCTATGTCCTGCTGGCTGCAATGTGACGTAAAGTATTACAGCATCCTAGGAGCTCTGTCATAAAGCCTGAGGGCAGCTGGCTGACCTAGAACAATACCAAACACAAGCCAAGTCTGCTGGTGCCAAACCTTAAGCCAAAATTCACTCACACAGTAAAATCAGCCTCCTGTTTTCATCCCTCTCTACAGCACTGTTAGAGCTTAGACTTTCATGACTTCAGCTCTAGTGAGGTATGTTGCTTCCATTGACCTCCTGGGGTGCTTGGCTGTAAATATGTGCCTTGCTTTCCATGTTGATTGGTTTCACCTGACTTACCCTCCTAGGATTTCATGCTTGCTGACATTATAATAACTGCTGATCCCCACCCTTTTGGCTGAGACAATCCGGTGATCAAATGGCGCTGGTGGAGTAGGACTATCATCTACAAAAGACAAAACACATAGAGAGCACATAAGTGGTCACATGCAGTGCCTGCCTATCTCTTATTTTAGCCCCTCTTTTCCCCAGATAAGCTCATTTAAGAACTGAATACACTTACTGTAAGTTTTATAGATAGGTCTTTGTCATTTAAGAAAGGGTTTATTCTAGGAGCTCTGACTCAGAAAATAGGGTGCTGTTGGGGAGCTACACTAGTAAGATAAGGAATTCTTTATTAAGTTAACACCTTCTGCACAACAGTAGCAAGAGGTAAAGTGACCACCGCTAGACTAAACCAATGTAGCTTCATGCCTGTAAAGGGCCTCAGCAATTTGCTTGGAAGGAATTCAGCTTTTTTCTGATTTTTCACCCCCAGCTCAGGGCCTGTTAAGAGCTGAGCATGTACTGTAACTGTCCAGTGGGGTAGGAAGAGAGATTGAGCTCTCTTCTAGGCCCAACTAAAAGAAGCTATATCCCAGTTTTTGTTCTTCATAGTGAAGAATGTCCTTCTCTACTGTTTGACACAACTTGTCATTCTCCATTGTGTGGTCATCATCTTTAAAGGTGCACATTTAGGGCTTGTGCACATGAGGGAGTTTCACCTTGGCAGGCAGCACCTGGGATTTCCAGTACAGCTCAGGTGTGGTAGGACACATGGTAACTGTCATGTACTGTCCTTAAAACAAAGATGGCAGATAAAAGGTAAAAAGGGGCAGAGAGAAGGGATGCGTTCCCAACATCACACTGCAGCAGCTACGGAGTTTTGGCACAAATGCCGGTCTCTGGTATTATTGTCTGAACCTCCACATGCTGGACCACTCTGCCATCCTGATGTCAAAATCCCTGCTGGAGACCAGCCCTGCATGCTTAATTTCTCTTTGGATTTTTTGCAGGGTGTTGCAACTTCAATTTCATACCCATGTAGTTTTTAATTTGATTGATATTCCCGAGAGTGACCTTTGGCTGACCAAGGTGACAAATACTTCTTCAACTGGTTGGGAGGGCTAGAGCCCCAGCGTTTCAACATGAGCTCTCTGGTTTGGAATGCCGGCTCCCTTTTGTGTGAGGCTTGTTGAGCAATTTTAAAACTGTTCATTACTCCAGTGAAAATGATTAAAATCACAAACAAAAAAAAGCCATGACAGCATGTAGCTGGCAGGAACACTTTGGTCATTAATGTAGCAGTAGATTGTCCTTATTCACAGTGAACGTCCATTTTTCCAGGACACCAGCTGTGTACCTAGATTTTTTTTTTTTTTTTTTTTGGACAGTGTTAATAACTTACATGGTCAGGAAGTTAGTTCATGGTCAAGGAATTGTGAAAAGCTGGGGCTTCTGGAAGTTTGCCACCTACTCGGGATCCTGCAAAGTTCGAATTGCACGTCCTTAAGTATGGGCCTTTGTGAGTTACCGAGACCTACAAAATGCCAAGAAAACCCCTACCCTAAAGGCAGAATTTGACTCTAACAACACAAACTCTAAGACTCCCAGCATGTAAGTGACAGAAAAAAATTGTCTTTCTGAAAGCTCAGCTCCCAAACGTTACCAAACTTTGGGCAAGGAAGCATTCCTTTAAAAAGGCCAGAGCACCTCTTCAAAACTATGCCTAAGTTTAAGCCTTCAAAATTTTCCCAGGGACAGACCTTCTATTTTAATTTTCCTGCACAACAGAGAGGATTTCTCCCTATTCAAGAATGATCTCCTGTTACAGATCAAAGATGCTCCAAGAGAGACACTCTGACCTTAATGCCATCCCCAACGATCTGCCAGAGCTCAGGACAGGTTATGGAGTTTCAAGTTTTAGTACACTTTCTCCTGTTTCCTGCTACAAAAGCCTAGCACAAACATTTAATAGATGTTTTTCTTTCCCACTCTCCTCCCATTCCCAAAGCAAATAAATTTATTCCGAGTCCTATGCATGCACACACACCCACACCCATCTTCAAATCTTTCAGGCCATCCTCTCATGTGCCACCATTTCATATATCAGGATACGCACTCAGATTCTTAAGCTGGATGTTTAATATTAGAAATCTCTGCTTCTGCTCTAAAGCACTGCTTCAGAGTTTGGTGCCTGAGCACCATTTATCTGACTGTTCAACAGCATCAGTCAGGCTTCCACACAAAAATCTGGTTTTCTTTATTTTACATGCTGCAGTTGTTCTCACTTCAGATTGCAATGGTATGAATACGAGCAAGCTGTTTTCGCAGGCTACATCCAGAGCATTGCAGATTCTGTGTTAACACATGTTCTCAACACTTCCACAGGTCAACCATTTTTGACACACGCGATATAATTTCTCCTACCACTCTATACTTAGGAGGGTTAGCTCTGTT